ATTGCATGCTGAGCTTTATTGCCAGCCCTTCCCTGCTCCTCGTAGGGGAAAGTGCAGGATCCCCTCTTTCCTAAAACGTTGAAGAACACTGCTGTGAGTAGGTGAGTGACGAGCGGCCGAGAGAGTAGCGGACAGGCTGCACAACGACACAATTTCATTTTAAAGAGGACTGGGGGTCAGCAAAAGTTGAGGGGAAAAAGTCGTCACATACGGTCCCATTCCCTAATTTACGTTCTGATCAAGTAGAGATCCGATCTTGTGTAACCCCAAAAGAGGAAGAGGCCAGAGTGTGTGGAGTCTGGCGTCTGGAGCTGTTTCAGCGTCCGGATGCTGGGAAGACCCTGAGCTGGTCCCAGTACTTCCAGGGCGGCGGGGAGCTGCAGGAGTCTCCTGGCTCTTCTTGTTTGCAGGGGGCGCTGTGGGCCCGGGGCCTGAGCGTCGTCTGCGCGCGGAGGAGACGTTCCCAGGATGCCTTACGAGGGCCGGAGGGGGCGGGGTCCCGGGAAGGAGGTGGGGCCAGGGCTCAGAGCCCGCCCAAGGCGTTGCGGGATCTCATCTGCGCGCCCGGGCTCTGGGGCAGTGGCGGGAGGGCGCAGGCGGAGGGGACGGTCCCCGTGTCGGGAGGACCAGGCCCAGGGGGCTGCTTGCACGGCGCGGGAAAAGCTGAGCCGACCGTGCCGCTCAGCCCCCCGCGCGTGTGCGCCCAGGGACCCCAGGACACTCGGCGGAGCGGTCCGCCGGGGCGCCTCGGAGAGGTAGGACCAGGGGGACAGAAAACTTGGCGAGAAAAGGGATGGATCCCCAGAGAGGGCACAGGAACGCACTTTACTAAATTGCAGGGATAGTGATCATTTTAGTGACTGATCTTTAGAAAAGGATGATTGCAACTCTAAATTTCGTGCCTTCCACCCCAGGAGTGACAGTAAGGCAGTGTCCTTCCGCCTGAATGTAAACCGTGTTTCTCAAGAAATATGGCAATTAATTCATTGCCCTTTTCAAGACCGGGGTGGGAGAGAGAGGCGAGAGGAGAGAGGGGTCGAAGAGCCCTGGAGGTCCTAATCCGTTCTGTGAAGCGTAAAGTGAGTGTCAGAGCCTGGCGTCCCTTTCTGCAGGTCCCGTGACTCGTGATTGAGAGGGGGGCCTGGCTGCTTGACTTCCAGTTCCCTTTCCTTCTCTTCGTCGGAATACAGTGTGCCTTCCCTCCTCTGACAAGTACTGGGTATTTATATTTACAGCGGCGCCTCTCTGGGGTTTTGACCGCCTGATCAAGCTTGTGTCTCACATTTTTTCAACCTGTTAGGAAGCTAAAGGGAACTTCCCTAGAAATTCCATTTGTAACTTCTAGGGAAAGAGATGCTTTGATTTTCTGGTGCAGAGTTTTGAAAAGGATCGTTGGCGGTCTGTCATTTCTCTCTGACAATGATCATGTCTTTATGCAGCCAGTTGTCAATTTCCAGGTTAAATTTCATTTTAGTGGACCAAAACGATACCAAATGTAGAAGTCTGTGCCGGTGTGACTTTCTGACACTGTGTCGGCTTTCTGTCACTATGACAAAATACCTGGGAAAAACAGCTTTAAAGAGGAAAGGTTTGTTTCGGTTCCTGGTTTCAGAGGTTTCTGTCCATGGTCAGCGGCTCCATTGCACTGGGGCCCTGGGTGAGGCAGCGACCTCATGGTGGAACCGGTGGTGGAGAAAAGCTGCTGGCCTCATGGCAGCCGGAAGCAGAGAGGATGAGAGAAACAGAGACCCTGTGCTAGCAGCTTCCTCCTCCTCCTGCTTTTCTGTCTGGGTCTCCGCTCTGCTGGATGGTGCCACCCACACTTAGGTCAGGGCCGGCAGTTTGCTGTGCTACATGCGGGTCATCTCTGGAAGCACCTCACAGACGTACTCAGAGGATGTTGAACAATTTTCTAGGTGTTTCTCAACCCAGTCAGGCTGATGGTCAAGATTTTACAATATCTCAGAGAAAACTGAAGATGACATACATGTTTATCACACAGTATAAACACAGATCACATGTGCTTTATACAACCATGCCCTAAGGTTGGTGCTTAACACAACTACATATATCCTATGGTAAGTGCTCTAATGTTCACTGAATCGATTCTAAAGTATGATGATAGAGTCTGGGTTTAGTACCTTTAGCTCGGCACAGAAGGGAGTTAAGGAATGTAGCGGGCATCCTCCAGTAGCTGCTGACCAGCTAGAGCTGTAAGCATGGGCCTGGTCTGTAATCATAAATCAAGGTGAGCCCCTTAGGAGAGAGAGCTAAGTTCCCTTAGAAGATAAAATAAGAGCATTGGAAAATAAGTGATTATGATGTAGAATATAAAACTACATGTAAGCCAGGTTGGTGACACATGCTTGTAATCCCAGCTCTTGGGAGGCTGAGCCCCCCCCCCAAAAGAAAACTACATGTAGATTGTTATCTCTGGTATTTTTTTTGTTTTCTGTTAGCTTGGTGTCGGTTGAGATTCTATATTTTGCTCAAGTTGACCTCCAACTCTTAGACTCAAATGATCCTCCTGTCTAAGCCTCCCAAGTAGCTGGGACTACAGACTTGAACCACCATTCAGAAATGAATTCACTCTTCCTCGTTCATCTGAAAGGGGCAGGTATCAATCAGAATCATGGGAAGGCAGAACGATCCCTGAGTTCTCCAGCACATACTATTCACCATTTCATCCTTTTTTTGGTTTTGTTTTTTGAGACAGCGTCTCACTGTAGTTCAGGCTGGCCTTGAACTCGCTATGGAGTTCAGGCTGCCCTTGAACACAGTGATAATCCTCCTGCCTCAGTCTCCTGCATGCTAAGGTTACAGGTGTGCATCACTACGCCCGGCTCATGCATGTAGTCTAATTCCTAGATAGGACTGAGCACGTCTCATATATGCAGACGATGCAGGTTGTGCAGCTCTCTGATCCTCATTTAGTTTTCCAATTATGTAAGCCCAGCGTGTGATGACGGATGTGAGTGCCAGGGTTGTTGCACATCTGCCCGGACATGATCGAGATGGAGAAGACTGATTCCCCATAGGCCTCCTCTCTAGGGACCATGATGCTCAAGTAGAGGAAAACACAAGTTCAAATAGACTTATAAACCTGGCCTAATAGTGCTAAATGGCTACCCTGCGGGACAAGACAGGGCAAAGTTCATTTATATGAATGAATCTCCAAACCAGGGTCCAGTGCTGGGACTTAATGTCAACCTTTCTATGTTACAAGCAGTCATGGAGATTTTTGGAGATGATCGTGGAAGTGCTGTTTCACTCTGCTCTGACCCTAGTCCTAGTAGGCTTCTGGCCTTACTTTCCCAAAACCAGATTCGATGAGATTGGGACACGAAGACCAATGAACTTCCCAATGTGCTAATTTCATGTTTGGCTGATGAGTGAATTTTTGTCACCACTCTCTAAACTCCATGTAAAACCTTAATTTCACAAGTATGTGTGTGCACAGGTACATTGTACTTTGACAGGTGTCCTCCCTTACCTGTATCAACAAAGGGCCTTAGTGAACTTGGTTGTATTTGTCGCACATCTTGGCAAACAGGGCTTTTTTTTTTTGTCTTTTTGAGACAGGGTCTGGCTATGCAGTTCAGGCTGGCCTTGAGCTCACTTTGCAGCCCAGGTTGGTCTCGAACTTGCAATGATCCTCCTGCCTCAGCGTCCTGAGTGCAGGGATTACAGGCGTGCGCCACCACACCTGGCAAACAGGGCTTTCATTCCTGTTTACTATAAATTCATAGGAAACTACCAAGAAAGACAAAAATTCCAGCTCAGTCTTTTTGAAGTTATTTAAAATGCTGTTGAACTATTTGATGGTCTATATTCATGGGACTGCACCAAATCACTTCATGTATACTCAGGAATTAAAGCTAGTTGCAAAATGATCTCTCTGCCCTACAAGATTACTGTTTAGATTGATAAGATTTCAATGAAGATGTATTAAAGTTCCTTAATTGCTAATGTGTGAGTTTTCCGCTTTCTTTTTTTCTCAATCTGCAGTTACAGGAAAACAACTGCACTCAAGTTGTATTTGTTTATTGATTTCCCTATTTGTTTTCAGTAACTTGGCAGACATGCTGATCTCCAGGTGTTTGCAGTCTCAAGCCCTAATACCGCACGCAGGCTTCTTTTCTGACATAAAAACCTAGTTTTCCTCTCCTTAACTGTCAATAGGAAGAGCCTCAAGATTATGTCTAGATCTATGTAAACCACTAGATTGTCTATCTTTTTCCTGCAGAAAACTACAGAAGGAATAAATAGTACGAGGCAAGGGTTAGATAAGAATCTGACCACTGACTCAGGCAAAATTGTGCACCCCCAGTTCCTGATTTACTTTACAGCACACTCACCCAGCTCCACCCCCCAGCCCAATACCCAGGAAAGGACTACAAACTTTTTTCAGTACTGGGTACTGAACCAGAGTCATCGCAGCAAGGGGCATCCCCAGCCCTTTTTGTTTCTTGTTTAGAGACAAGGTCTCACTAAATTGCCCAGGCTGAGCTCAGATTTACAATCCTCCTGTCTCAGCCTCCCGGAGTGCTGTAATTACAGGCATTCTCCACCATGGCCGGCTAGAGATAGAAATTCTTATCTGCTCAAGCCACAAAAAGAAACCAAGAAGCTCACAAACATGAAATACTGCCTCGTGTTCCCTCTAGCCTCCCCCGAATCCCGTGGGCTGCTCGTACACCCACTAAGGACACGTGTTCCTTCTGCCAAGCTCCGCCCGGAAAACGGAGCTCACAACCCCGCCTTCCCTGAGCCCCTCCCACCCCAGCTCCACCAATCGCGTCCCGAAGTGGGCCGGGTCCCGCCCCCCAAAGGGGCCGACCGGGCCGCCTTTGTTCTAGCCCGCTCCCTTTCTCAGCCTGTGCGCTCGGCGCAAACCGAGTGGCACTCGCTGATTGGTGGTTGCGGCGCAGCCAATCAGAAGGGGGCACCTCACGTTAGGGCTCGGAGTTTTAAACGCGCGGCGCAGGGGCGTTCGCAGGGCCTGAGCGGCGGGGTGGGCTCGCAGAAGAGCGAGGGGCGGTGGCGGCTCGAGCGCCCGGCGTCGCGCGCCGATTGGTTGGTCCGCAGCTTCCTCCGCCCCCAACCAATCGCTGGGCGGGACTTCCTGGGGGGCTCGCTGCGCCCGCGTCGCTCCGGCGCTTCGGGAGTGCGAGGAGGTCGCGCCCCGCGCAGTCGCCATGAGGCTCCCTAACGCCTGCCTGCTGCTGCTGCTCCTGGCGCTGGCGCAGCTGCTGGCCCCGGCGAGCGCCGGCGGGGCGGACGAAGGTGAG